TTACCGGTCGATGTAGACTTGCATGTATGAAACACGTGCTTCCAGGCAATTCTTGGAAGTAGGAAGCATTGACAGGTAGCGAAACGCTTTTCACTTGCACACAAAGCGCAATATACGAAGATGAGTGAGTGACATGATAGCCCGTGACATGCTTTGTATTCACTGTTGTTATACGTGAATCATAGTTGTTCTGGTTGCTTGTTACATCTTTTTATTAATTTTTTCTTGGTAAATATTTATCCGTTTTGTTGCTGCACAATTTCTGGAATTTTTTGAAGAAAATATGATATTTTTATTATCGTTCTCGCAGATTTGTCGAGGATTTATCCGAGAAATATTCAGCACTGCTGTAGACATAGCCTTTGATAGACCCATATTTATTTCGACCATTTGGACAGTCACTCGTGCAGGTGGCATTCACCGAGCAGATGGTCGGTACTTTCAGTTCGGCGTACTTGTGGTGTTGAATTGAAATGTGTACGACTTAATGGACCGAAACATTCCTTTTCAATTTGACTTTTAAGTAACGTACAGGTGGTCACTATCATTTTTGTATTGCCCGATGTATGGAGGCCTACAGCGGTAGAGTAGTCTTGGTATTTTTGGTATTAAAAGTATTCCGGGATCTCTTTTGCAAGCTAAAGTTATATACGTGAAGCCGATCCGGGCCCATCTTTGCAAGCAGTCGACAAGGGTGAAACTTATTTTTAATCGTTGGTGAATCACCGGCGATTTTATCACAAAAGTGGGCGAATGGGTAACCCGTCATAACCAGAAACAGCCCACAAGAAAACATATTTAAGAGGCGGCTGTTACTTTCGTTGACTGGTCGATTGGCCGTGAGTCTAGACCGATCAGCTTGTTGCTGTACTCGACCAGTTCCGCTTTCGAAACGCGTCCCCGCTGGTTGATGAATTTCGCTACTGCAAAAATATCTGTGACACTCCAGGGCAACTATATTGAGGAAACGAAGATACAACCCTCCCCTCTCCCCCCCCCTCCCCGCCCCTCTATGAGAAGTGCAGGCATTCGGTAATATTCTTAAGATATTAAATACCAATTTGTAACCATCTCGTTGTATGGCTGCCAATGGTTCCTTTACAAGTAAAACAGGAAAATGAA